AGGAAATTGGGGCTCAGAGGCTAGGGGACGAGCCAACCGGTACAGGGTTACTGAGTGGCTAAGCCACTTGCTCATCCCCAAGCCCATCCCCTTAGCCATTGGAGTTTTTTGCTGCCTCTGACACATACACTCAGGGCCATGATGCTGCACACCTCCAGGGGGCGCCCTGTCCTTTGTAGTCCATGGGAAAGGCTCCTCTGAGGTGGTGGGGCTGTGTGGCTGTGTGGTGGGGCTGTGTGGCTGTGTGGTGCCCCTGTGCAGATGGGGGCTTTGAGTTACACAATTGTGTTATTGCAGATTGCCTTGTCTTTCCACCTGAGCAAGTCTCAAGCCTGTACCCTGACTCCTTCATTGACTGACTCATTCTCTCGGTTCTGCCCTGGGAGGAGGGACAGTCCTGGGGAGGAGGGACATGAAGAATCCAACTCTGGACTCCAATTCCAACTCTGTAATTACTGGTCATTCAAGCTGGGGAAAGTCATAAATGTATCAGAGTTTCTATTTCCTCATATGTGAAAAGAGTCAATCACACAAACTTCACAGAGCCGCCGCAGAGATCAGTTGAGATGCAAAGTACGTAAAGTGGCCCGTGTAGCTCTGGTAAGGGCAGGTACTCAGTAGATGGCTATGAACCCCGGTGTGGACTGAGCGCTGCTCTGTGCAGGCATGGTGCTGAGCGCTGCGGATCTCATTTCATCCTCAGCACACCGTGAGGAGTGCCCCCTTGGGCTCCTCATACCGCAGGTGAGCACTAAGGTTCAGAGAGGTTAACTTGCCCCAAGTCACACAGCCAGCGAGAGGCAGCACCGGGCAGCCAGTGCCACCAGCACAGGACTTGGAACTAGTTTGTCTAACATCCTGATACCCTTCACTGGGATGATATTCAAAGCATCCATCAAGAGGTGAAGTGGAATGGACGCAGGCCAGGATGCCGATCCCCCACCCCCAGGCCCCCTCTCTGGTTCCCACCACCAGGCTCTACTGCCTCCCATTCTCAGGTCAAGCTCCTTCCCATATTCCTCCCCCAGAGATTCCAAGCTCCTTCGGGGCCAGCCCCGTGCCATGTCCCTTCCTCCTCCACATACTGTCCTCAGTCACAGCAAGATCCCCAATCATCAGTGACTTCATTTAATTCTAACAGGGACTTCCAAGAAGAAACGAGATCAGATCTCAAGTGAGAGAGGAGCAGAGAGAGGAATTCTGAGTCACTGGCACCAACAGGGCATGGGTGCCCAAGGAGACAAGCAGGAGGCGCCCCCGGGGAACACTCACCTGGAGGTGGCACAGGGGATTTTGCCCACATTGTTATTGATGTCTTTTCCCTCCGTCTTTACATCCTGGTGGAATTTGGCCTTGAACAGAAACTTCCAAGGACAGGCCATCTCTGTGGTTTTGCAAAGTGGGGCACTTATGTCACTTCTCTGGATTTGAGCTCAGACGTTCTTCACTGTGGGGCTGACGAAGGGAAGCAGAGGTGAGGGAAGGTTGGAGAATAGTTTATAGCATTGGGCTTCTCAATGGGGTTGTCTCACTGAAGAATCGATACGAACGCCAGCGTGAGCCCCTTCATCAGTGCTTTGCAACCTCTGTCTCTATTTGGGGGTTGGAATGGGGAGGCTTCAGACACAGACTTCAATTCTGTAAAGCCACCTAACAATCTAAAGAGAAAACACGGGACCCCCTCCCCCATTGCCATGTAACAAGGACAAACTACATGTCCGGTGAGGCTCCTGAGCGGGACCTGCTGGTCCACTGTTCCCAGCCAGGCTTCATCGCCAGCCCCAGGCAGGGTGAGGAAGAGCCAGGAGGTCACTAAAACAGGAGTGCCTTTGCCTGACCCTGAAAGACACTTTCCAGCAGCTCTTATTAGCAACTGTAGTTTTAGGTCTGTTACTGGGAAAAGCACTCAAGCTGTAGCTGCCATTCTTTTAAAGATTTTGCAATTGTTCTAAGTCAGTATTATCACATGCTCCTCTTTTATTATGTGGGGAGAAACTGTGAAAAATGCACTCAACTCTAGAAACCTGAGATCATCTCCTTTGAAAGAGACAAGAGGAAGATCAAAGAGGCAGAAACTTTCTTTTTTTTTTTTTTTTTTTTTTGAGACGGAGTTTCGCTCTTTTTACCCAGGCTGGAGTGCAATGGCACGATCTCGACTCACCGCAACCTCCGCCTCCTGGGTTCAGGCAATTCTCCTGCCTCAGCCTCCTGAGTAGCTGGGATTACAGGCATGTGCCACTATGCCCAGCTGATTCTTTGTATTTTTAGTAGAGACGGGGTTTCACCATGTTGACCAGGATGGTCTCGATCTCTTGACCTCGTGATCCACCCGCCTCGGCCTCCCAAAGTGCTGGGATTACAGGCGTGAGCCACCGCGCCTGGCAGAAACTGTCTTTCTAAGACAATGTAGTGAATATAGTTCATGTAAGACTTCTAGGCCAGGCACAGTGACTCAGGCCTGTAATCGCAGCACCTTGGGAGGCCGAGGCAGGAGGATCACTTGAGCCCGAAGGTTTGAGTTCATACTGGGCAACATGGGGAGATCTTGTGCACAAAAAAAATTAAAAATAAGCAGGCATGGTGTCTTGTGCCTGTGATCCCAGTTACTCAGGAGGCTGAGGCAGAGGGATCACTTGAGCCTGGGCAGTCAAGGCTGCAGTGAGCTGTGATCACGCCACTGCACTCCAGCCTGGGCAACAGAGTGAGACCCTGTCTCCAAAAAAAAAGAGAGAGAGAAGGAAGGAGGGAAGGAAGGAAGGGAGGGAAGGAAGGAAGGGAGGGAGGGAAGATAGATGCTGGTCTCAAACTCCTGAGCTCAAGTGATCTGCCCACCTCAGCCTCCCAAAGTGCTGGGATTACAAGGGTGAGCCACCGCGCCTGGGCTATAATTTCATTCCTTATGATGCCTCAAATACAGCATTCCTATACATATGCATTTTTCCATCATAAAAGAAAAATAACTACATTAGGGAGGCATCGAGAAGCAAAAGGAAAAAAATTGCGGTTGATCTCACCGTCCCAACTCACTGCTGCCACCATCCGCTAATCTCCTTCCTGTATTTCCCAAGTTAAATTCAGCCTGGTAATACAGTAACTTTGTCAAAGATAAATTAAGAGCCACAAGACGACATAAATATCAGAGCTCAAAGGTCTTTGTTGAATGAATGAGTGGAGAGAAAGAAAGAAAAAAAGAAAGAGAAAGAGAGAGAGAGAGAGAAAGGAAGGAAGGAAGGAAGGAAGGAAAGAAGGGAAAGAAAGGAAAGAAAGGAAGAAAGAAAGAAAGAGAAGGAAGGAAGGAAGAGGGAAGACGGAGGAAGGGAAGGAGGGAGGGAGGGAGGGAAAGCAAGAAAGGAAAGAACTTATAGCCCCTTGGACCTGTGTTCAAATTCTGAAATCCTAGATCTACCAGTTATGTGTCCTGGATCAAGTTATTTAACTGAAACTCATTTCTTCATCCACAAAATGGGTTTAATATATCCATCTCACCAGGATTTGTGGGGAGGTTACATATTATAAGGACTGAATAAGATAGATAATCTATGTTAAAGAAAATTCTTAGCAGACACAGGCTCCCATTCCGGACTTTTCAGAAAGTTTCTCCTTGTAATGTAGCAACCACAGCCAGTATCTGAAGAAGAGAAATCTGATGGAGATGCCATGTTCAAATGATTGAACCTTATCTTGGCATTTCTTTACCTAGACTTCCCATCACCTTCTCTCTGTAGGCAGAAAATCCCTACAATTTTCTAAGCCTTCTCAAACGGGAAGAAACAAAACCCTCTCAAAACAGCCGCTTTCCCAGAAATGAAGGCAACTCACCTTGCAGCGGGCTGCACTGCCTCCCCGGGGTAAGGAGAGTCCAACTGGGAAGAGACCTGTGCCTTGGGAGCTTCGGGACTGTCTGGAACTGCCCAGTTCCCTCGCCAAAGGCGGCCGAGAGATGTTTAAAGCAGTGATGAGGCTGTGTTCTCTGGAGTTGGAGCCTCAGTTTTTGACTCGCTGCAAAGTTATAAACACACTGGCAGTCAAGAAGTATTTATATTCACCCCATGCCATCCAGAGGGTTGTTTTTGCATAAAGAGCTCTTTTTTTTTTTCCAAAGGGAGTGTCCCCGGCTGGGTGTACAGTTAGCTCATTTATGACTGTGACTGCCAGGGTCTGCGGGTGACTTGATCTTGCTGTTACATCACTCTGTGTGGTGCATCTTCAGCCAGCCCACCTCTTCCTGGTCCCAAGTCCAAGGTGGCAGCTCATTAGCAGGGTAGCCGCTAAGATAGAGGCACCATGGAGCCAGGCTGTATTTGGCCAAGCCACACTGCCTGACTTTTGGCATCTGGGGAATTTTCTCCTCAGCAGGAACTCTTTGGTTAATCCCTGTCCATCCTCTCACTTTTCCAGCTTGTGACGGGAGTCCAGGAACCTGGAGGGATATTGACAGTATGGACATGCTGGAAAATGCCGAGGTTCCTGAAGTCCAGTGATGTTAAATGATGCCCTTATTCCAGACAGGTCCCTGAACTAGTCACTTGAGGTTTTTGGAAGGGAAAGGAAGGCAGGCAGTTGGCACAGAGAGGCCTCCGAGTATGGTCTTACTTACTAACACCTCACCCTGTAGCACTAGGTGAGCTTTGGCGGAATGGCAGGTAGGAATTTTTCTACAAGGGAAAAAATTCCTTTTCTGATAATGGAAATGATCACTTCTTATATAAAAAAGTGATCATTTATTATCATTTAATTTCATTTCTTTTATTATTATTTTGAGATGGGGTATCTCTCCGTCACCCAGACTGGAGTGCAGTGGCACGATTTCTGCTCACTGCAACTTCTGCCTCCCAGGCTCAAGCGATCCTCCGACCTCAGCCTCCTGCAAGTGCACACAACCATGCCCACCTAATGTTTTTGTGTTTTTGGTAGAGACTGGGTTTCACCATATCGCCCACACTGGTCTCGAACTCCTGAGCTCAAGTGATCTGCGCACCTCAGCCTCCCAAAGTGCTGGGATTACAATGGTGAGCCACTGCGCCTGAGCTATAATTTCATTCCTTATGGTGCCTCAAATACAGCATTCCTATACATATGCATTTTTTCATCATAAAAGAAAAATAATAACTACATTAGGGAGGCGTTGAGAAGCAAAAGGAAAAAAATCGCGCTTGATCTCACCGTCCCAACTCACTGTTGCCACCGTCCGCTAATCTCCTTCCTGTCTTTCCCAAGTTAAATTCAGCCTGATAATACAGTAGCTTTGTCAAAGATAAATTAAGAGTCACAAGACGACATAAATATCAGAGCTCAAAGGTCTTTGTTGAGTGAATGAGTAGATGAATGAATGAAAAACAGGAGTAAGCTGGAATGACTTTTGGCATATCAAAGCCATCTTTCAGGCTTCAGCTGGTTCAGTTCAGGTAAACAACACTCACTGAGGAAAGAGTTAGAATCCTGGCCTTGGCGAGTGCAAAGTCTAGAAAAATGAATGGATAAGCATAGTACAGAGTGATACCTGTAGTGATGGAGAGATGGCATGGTGCTGATGTAGCTGGTTCTGTATTGTTCAGGGAAAGTTTACAAGGGAGAGGATACCAGGGTAGGGTTTTGAGGGATGAATAGGAGTTTGCTGCACTCTATTCCCCGTAACTGCTTTCACATATTCTGGCTATTCCTCCAGCAAACACATGTATTAACCCATTTAATGCCCCCACTCAAGAGACTCTGAGGGAGATACTACTGCTTGCTGTTCATGGAATCCTCAAGAATCCCATCTACTCGGCCTCAAAACACTTGGTTGATTTTCCTTCAGAAAATGCAGTTATTCAGTTATTTGATCTGTCAAGCATGTCATCTGGGGTGCCCCTCCAATGCAGCGTCTGCTCATTGTGGCGTTCTTGACCCGGGGCAGGGTTCGAGTCAGCAGTTACTGCCTAAACTGAGTATCAGGCTTGAGGACACATTTGGAATTAGCCAGCTGGGAAGGAAATATAATTTCTCCTCAATCCTCCTAAGTTTTCTGTTGGACAGACAGCTGTAACAAAAGACATTATTAATACAGAAAAGAACAAGCAGGCTTGTTAAAGTCTGTGAGGCACATCACACAGGAGAAGCCTCAGTGAACTCCAGCTTTCGGAGCGTCTGCCATGAAGAGCAATGCATTTTAGAAAGTGACAAGATGGCCGGGCACGGTGGCTCGTGCCTGGAGTCCCAGCACTTTGGGAGGCTGAGGTGGGCAGGTTGCTTGAGGTCAGGAGTTCGAGACCAGCCTGGGCACCGTAGTGAGACCCAATCTCTACGGAAAAATTGAAAATAAATTAGCTGGGTATGGTGGCTTCCCCAGCTACTGTAGTCCTAGCTACTCAGGAGGATGAGGTAGAAGGATCGCTTGAGCCTGCGAGTTTGAGGCTGCAGAGAGTTATGATCACGCCACTGCACTTCAGCCTCTCTCTAAAAAAAAAAAAGAAAAGAAAAAAAAGAAAGAGGGGGAGAATGAAAGAAAGAAAGGAGGAAAGAAAGAGAAGGAAGGAAGGAATGTAGGAACGTAGGAAGGAAGGAATGTAGGAAGGAAGGAAGGAAGGAAAAGTGACGGGATAAAGGAACGCAGCTGTAGGCTTCCAGGGCTGGGAAGCTGTGAGCAGGTAAACACATGGCAGTGAGCTAAGGAGTGGGGCAGCAAGGTTTGTTCGTATTTGTAGATGACTCTGGGACCATCTCTTTGCTGATAAAAGTTATCTTCTCATCTTGATGCTAGGAAAGCATCTTTCTGCAAGGAATGTTTGTGGCTGACTGCAGGCAGAACGGGGCTGTTCAGATAGCCTCTCTCTAGCTGCTCTTTCTCAAGCGCCTTCAGCTGGAAATGATCAGGTCGCCACATCGGCATATTTGGGGGTGGCATGTTCTGGTTTCCTTCAGCCTGAAAGGTGTCAGGTTCAAGTGACAGCTCCACGGCCGACCTGCTATGTGGCCTTGGAAATGCCACTTCTCCCTGGGCCTGACTTTTCTCATGACAAATGGTAACAAAAATAAAAGTAAACTTGACACAAGAAAATGCTTTGAACCATCAAGCAAAAAGGCAGCCACACAAGAATCTATGATCCTCGCTGGGGTCAGAGAGTAACAATTTCCCTCTTGACACAGAGCAAGTAGTGCCAAACTGCCTTCTGAAGTAGCCTCAGTCAGGTCCCCGATCCACCACAAACACCTGCTTTTAAATTCCCGATCCTCTCTCTCTCTCTGTCGCATCAAATTCATGTAGGTATTTTTAATTTTTAATTGGAATAAAATTCACATAATATGAAATTACCGATTCATTATTTTAAAGTGTCAAATTCAACGGTTTTTAAAATATTGACTATGTTGTGTAACCATGACCACTATCCCAATCCTCTCTTAACCGGCACACAGGAAGACGAGGGGAGTAAAAATAGTGATAATGATTGTGATGACACAGAGAGGTTAGGAGACTCACCAAGGTCACACAGCAGACAGCCTTTGAGCCAGGACACACTGAGCTTCTGGTACCCTCCCCAGAGCACCTATCTGCAGGGCCCAGGGCTGGCCCTTCTGCTGGAGGTTGGCAGACATCCCCCTCTCGAAATCTCCTGCAGCTTCCTGGGCCTGCAACGCTGCCTTCCTCTTGGCCCTGCCCACCCAGCAGGCTGCATTCCTGGGCCTCTTCTGCTGATGGATGCGGCAGGTGAATTCAGCTGGGGAGAAATCAAAGAGCACCTTGAAGGGCAGGTGGGGGACAGGTGGGGGACAGGTGAGCCCCCGGAGGGTGGTGATGGAGGTTCTGAGGCGGCCACGGAGAAGAGCCCTCCTCCTTGCATTCCCAGGCTGCCCCGGGCAGATAGAAACCAGCACGGGATAGAAGCCAGCTGATAGAAATCAGCACGGGAATGCCTCGGCCTTATTATCCTGGAAATGATTTTCCTTGGATTCAATTTGATCTGTCCCTATGCCAGGCTGTGAAGATGGTTCAGGTCCAGTTAGCCCTCGGAAGTTAGCAACTTTGAAGCCCTTTCTACAAAAACAATGAGCAGAGCTACCGTTTACTGAGCAAGGCACTTAAACACACCAACCATTTAATCCACATAAGTCCTGTGCGGTAGCAATGATCACTAGCCCCATTTTATAGACAGGGAAATTAAGACTCAGCAAAGCCAAGTGACGTATCCAAGATCACACAGGCAGGTGGTTGCAGGGTTACAACCCTGGAGTCCCAGCTTGTACTTTCTTTGGCACATGGTCCATAAATACGGCCAGGCCCTGGGCTTTCTGTTTCTCATCTCAGTTAATCCTTCAACCACGCTGTGTGATCGTATTACACTATTATAATACAATCTCCACTTCACAGATAAGGAAACTGAGACACAGAAAGTTTGAGCAAGCAGCTCAGTGTCTCTTGGCTTGTAAGTGGCAAAGCTGAGGACTGACCCAGGTCTGAGACCTCGACTGGACCCCACCTTGTGTGCCCACTGTGTGTGTGCCCATTTTGCTACAGGTGGGTACACACAGGGGCAAGGAGAGGTGGCCGGGAGGGAGTGTGAAACTGAAGCCAGGGTAGGAGCTGAGGACGACCTGGGGTTGAATGTTCTCCCCTCCATGTCAGTGTCTGGTGCCAGCTCTGTGTGAGGCCACGGAAGGAGGAGATGGAGTTCCCGCTGTGTGCCCCACTTCACGGAAAGTGAAAAAAATTTTATTTGGGAAATATACTTAAGGCTTAAAAAGAGCCAGTTTAAGAGAAAATGTTTAAGCAAATAACAGTATAGGTGCATGCAGATGTGACACAAATGATAAAGAGGGGACGTGAAAGAAACCCGATGTGGCTCTTTCCATTTGGGTGTGTGCATGCCCTGTGGTGGGTCCCGTGTCCTGTGGAGCCTTCACTCCACTCAACTCTCAAAGGAAGGCACTGAGAAGAGGCATTCCTGGCTCCCTCCCACTTCTGATGCTTTACAAGCTCAAGTCCCTGGCCCCGGAGCCCCATGTCGTTTGTCAAGTGACCACTGGAGGGCGTAAGTCACACAAATTCCAGCAGCTCCGAAGCTGAGGTCTTCCCGGGTTTGTACCACCTTGCCCGACTTGGAGATGACGGCAGCGAGGGGATCTTTACTGGAAATGCACAAGTGGTCAC